AACACGTCGAGCCAGTTTACAAATCCAGTCTGAACGAATCGTACGAAATGAATCAGTGTACTGAAAAAGTTATTCTCGAGTGAACTGAACCGAACAGAGAACCGTTTGTAGGACTTTTTTGACTCCCAATGAACCGAGAACCAGTGAGTTTTAGACTAGACCAAGAATATCACTGATAGGCCGACAAGCAAGTTCAACAGCAATGTTTAGCGCGTTTGCAGTGAGGAGGTACTTTAATCGGTTAAAGTAATGGGACAAATGATTGAAACAGTGCTGCAGTAAATTTAGCCTAATCTGCAGTAGCCCCTCACTGCAGAACAAAGATCCAGGGGGTGGGGTTGGATCCACATCTAGGGGTTAGAGATGGTAGGTTTAGGGGTGGAGATGGGTGGGTTTAGGGATCAGGGGGTGGAGACGGGTAGGTTTAGGTATATGTAAGGCGGGAGGAGTTGGATCTGGATCCAACCTCGCCCCCTGGATCTTGTGTTCTGCAGTGAGGACCATCTCCTAATCTGGCTCTACTGGTTCTGCCACTCATTTGAGTCAATACGTGCATTGTAGTTTCACTGTGGTTTCAAGAAACAGCTTTCCCATATATCCACATTTCTCTTCAGTGATGCTATTCACATGTCTGAACCGAAGATACAATAGTTTTGAAGGACGTGTTTTTGCTTGGTTAGTACAATATGTAGTATTCCCATCAACTGTATTCAATTGTCATTGTAGCCTATGAGTTTTTACACTCTGAAAAGGAGGTGTGTTGATGTCTTAAGGTTTCGGCCAGCCTGCCCTACTAACAAAACTAGCCTGTGTTTTAAGAACATTTTGCTAACATTCCCATTAAGTTATCTGAATGTTCAAGGCATTAAAGGTTTTAAAATGGATTGTCTTGGTTATGTGTAGGCTACATTAGAGAGAGCATTACGTTTGCTTATCGTATTGCAAAAGTTATGGGAATGCTATTAAAGACCTGATTACTTTGAATGAACATTCTGTTAAAGAATGTTCATTCATGACTTTGGAGGAACTTTGCCAGAGCGTTACCCAAAGTTCTGGGAATGCTCCCTGTTGGCGGGATGTGTAGAAACATCTATGTTCTTTGTTTCCTAATGTTTTCTGCTATGATGCAGAACAGCAAATGTAAATAGTTATGAAGAACTGGTTTGGACCACCAGAAACCTATGACTTCCTATTATGAAAGTGTTTGAGGGGGAATACATTAAAACAACACCATCTGACATTTGTACATTCCTCCTACATTTCCTGTCAAGACTGTTGGCCTGAGGGTGTGAAATGATTCCAGTAAGATGACCACACTTGGGTTTTTGGAAAAAGTGTGCTTAGGTTTTGACACTTCCTAAATTTATTTTTATGTTACTACAGAGATGAAGCCCACGTCTTTGATATGGGAAATCCAGCCGTGTTCCATTGGTAATTAAACGTTGTGCCTGTTGCTATGTGGTTGCTAAGGTGTTCAGAGTGGGTTTTAGTATGTTGTTATGTTTGCTAGGGATAGTTTTCTTAAAGGGACAGTTCACCATAAAAATGAAAATTCTGTCATCATTTACTCACCCTCATGTTGTTCCAAACCTGTATGATTTTCTTTCTTCTGCAGAACATATAGTGTGATGTAAACTGTATTGTTACCAACTTCCATTGAGTAGAGAGAGAAAACACACCGTGACATCAAGATATCTTTTATGTTGCACAGAAAAAAGTGGTGGATGACAAATTATTTTTTTAGGTTTTTGCTGTTTGAAATAAAGCTGACATAATATAAATTATAACTATTAAAAAAACTAAACCTAAAAAACTAATTGGAAATTAGACATTTTGCTTTGGAAACTTACTGAAATAAATACTATAACTGAAATAAAATTATATTAAAGCTAAATAAAAATATTAAAAAACTAATACAACTGACAAAAGCACATAACCAAGTTACTAAAACTAAAAACTGGAAATATAAAATAAAACCTAATTCAAGATAGTAAAAATAGTGTAATATTATATAAATAATACTAAAACAACCCTGATTGTCGACACTTATACTAAATGTCACTGACCCACATGCTACAGTTACTAAGCGTTAATCGTCGTGTTCTGCTTCCTCAAGCCCAATATATGCAGAAACCTTCACTAGGCCAGTGTGCAGATTAATCATTAACAGGCCAGTGTAATGATTGCCAGTGTAACCTCATCAGCTTCCTTTAGCAACTAGACGGCTAATTAAACGTTGTGCCTGTTGCTATGTGGTTGCTAAGGTGTTCAGAGTGGGTTTTAGTATGTTGTTATGTTTGCTAGGGATAGTTTTCTTAAAGGGACAGTTCACCATAAAAATGAAAATTCTGTCATCATTTACTCACCCTCATGTTGTTCCAAACCTGTATGATTTTCTTTCTTCTGCAGAACATATAGTGTGATGTAAACTGTATTGTTACCAACTTCCATTGAGTAGAGAGAGAAAACACACCGTGACATCAAGATATCTTTTATGTTGCACAGAAAAAAGTGGTGGATGACAAATTACATGGCTTAATGCTCGTTTTTTGTCTGAAATAACTTATTCTGAAAACGTGTTCTTATCCCATCCATGATGTGCATTACTATAATTTCAGAATTCAAGTTCATTTTTAAAAGATTTTTGTATTATGAAATAATTTACGAAAAAGCAAAGTTAACTTTTTACCATGAAATATATTTTTGTTAATTTTTTTAAAATAATGATTGTATACACTCGCATGTATTCAAGGTTTGAGAAAAATATGTTTTTAGCCTACTTTTTACTTGATCACTTTTTTTCATTTAATTAAAACTCTTGTTGAAAATGATATAAAAGTTCTTCAAAACCATATGAAGTCATCAACAGTAGTCATTGTCATTTCATATCAGAAATCTACGCAATTTCAAAGTAATATATAGTGTCCTGTGTAGTCATAGTTTTTTTTTTATATATATATATATATAGTACCGTTCAAAAGTTTGGGTATTTTATGTTTTTGAAAGAAGTCTCTTATGCTCACCAAGGCTGCATTTATTTGATCAAACATGCAGTAAAAACAGTAATATTGTGAAATATTATTATGGTTTAATAACTGTTCTCTATTTGAATATATGTAAAAATCCAATTTATTCCTGTGATGGCAAAGCTGAATTTTCAATCACATATTGAAGAGAAATCAATCTAATATGCTGATTTGGTGATCGAAAATCATTTCTTATTATTCTCAATGTTGAAAACAGTTGTGCTGGAAACTGTTACGTTTTTCAGGATTCTTTAATTAATAGAAAAATCAAAAGAACAGCATTTATTTTAAATGCAGCTTTTTTTAACATTACAAATGTCTTTGCTGTCACTTTTAATCAATTTAAAGGGATAGTTCACCCAAAAATGAAAATTACCCCATGATTTACTCACCCTAAAGCCATCCTAGCTGTATATGACTTTCTTCTTTCAGACAAATACAATCAGAGTTATATTAAAAATGTCCTGGCTCTTTCGAGTTTTATAATGGCAGTGAATGGGTGATGAGATTTTGAAGTCCAATAAAGTGCATAAATCTATCATAAAAAGTGCTCCACATGGCTCCGGGGGGTTAATAATGGCCTTCTGAAGCGAATCGATATGTTTGTGTAAGAAAAAATCCATATTTAAAACTTTATAAATCGTAATATCTAGCTAATCTCTAGTATAGGTGTAGCGTAAGCTCCGGTGAGAAATGACGAATGCAGAAGCGCAGAGAAGAGAGCAAATCAAAACACTGGTCACAAATTGAAGTACAAAACGAGGATTTGTAAAGAAAAAAATATCTGAAGCCAAGCCATTTTGATATGAGCCAAGAGGAGACTGGTTTTCCTTTGATGTAAACAAAACTTGGTTCTTGCGAGACTAGCATATTCTCACCAGAGTTTACGCTATGCCTACGTCCTCCATCATCCGCTGGAACACCACTTTCGTTTGTGTTGTTAACCGTTTGTGAACGACAGTTAGCGAAAGCTAGAAAGTACGGTTATAACGTTTTTAATATGGATATCTTACTTACACAAATGCATCGACTCACTTCAGGAGGCATTTATTAACCACACACACACACACACACCCCCAGCCGTGTGGAGCCCTTTTTAAGATGGTTCGATGCACTTTATTGGACTTCAAAATTTCAACACCCATTCACTGTCATTATAAAGCTTGGAAGAGCCAGGACATTTTTTATATAACTCCGATTGTATTCGCCTGAAAGAAGAAAGTCACATAAATCTAAGATGACTTGACACCAGTAAATCATGGGGTAGGTTTTCATTTTTGGGTGAACTATCCCTTTAATGCCTCCTTGGTGAATAAAAGTCTTTTTTATATAATAGTTTAATATAATATGTATAGGTTTATATAATACAGTATGTTCATTAGTTTATATAAAATGTGTTAATTTTTTTAGGGGACACTCAGTTTCACAGCTAGATTTTTATATTTTCTGAAGAAAATGAGTGGTGTTTGTAGATGTGTTCGTTTTGCTATGGTTGATCAGCTTTGTGAACAGAGACTGTCTGTGACCTTTGCTTGCCATCAGTGGCCAATAAAAACATGGGACACATTCCAGGAATTCTCTAGTCCAATAGAAACTGCTCTCAAAGTATATCGTGGTGATTGCAGGTCTTTGTTTGGGGACACGTAAAACAATAAAAATGTTAGGTATTAAAATTCAGCAAATTTTAGAAAGCATTCATTGCTCATTATTTACAATAAAGAAACTAATTTGTATCAGCCGTGCTAAACATGAACTTTGGAAAAGGATATGGTACTGATAATGGCTGGACCAGTCACAACTGACTAGTATTTGTAATTTAGGTCATCGTATGTTGGCAAGTTTCCAGTGGTCAGTTTCAAAACCAAATGGCAGGCCAGAGATTTTAGCTACTCAGTGAGAGATGTGTATTGTCAGACTGTGTATTGGTTTGGTGAGCCGTTGGTGAGGAAGTGTCGGGTATCGCTCATGTCATGTGCTGGCTCCGCCCCCATGTACCTGTACAGCAGGAATTCAGCAGGTGGGAGCATGCTCAGCCATTCCTTCTCGTGCTCGGCCGAGCTGACAAACAACAGCCGAGTGCTGGACCTTCAAAAAGAAGTGAGGCTTTCAAAAACTGGTGCTTTTCGTCTGAACAGATCTTTGTTTGGTAGCTTTGTAAACAATGTGTATTTGTTGTTGTTTGTTTGATGTTGCACATATGAATGTAGCTGTTTCTTTTTCGTTTCAGAAAGCAGACATGGAGGAGATGACGATATGGGAGCAGCACACGGTCACGTTATCGAAAGTAAGTTGCGAATTGAGGGTTTAATTCGCTTTAGCCACACCTTTATCGAGGTCTGTTACAGGTGTGTCAGAGAACAAGACACCAGGTGTAGAGTTTCCCTAACAATTGAAAGTCGAGACGGAAAAGTTTAGCGAGCAATTGTGATACCAAGATTGTCATAAGAGTTGTTTCCACCTGTCACTAGGACACACCCGAAATTTTGGAATGTCAAGTTTGGGGTCATGTGGTGCATTTCAGTATAGAAAGAAGTTGCCTTCATTCGATCATTTTTTTTTTTTTTTTTTTTTTTCTTCGCTCTTTTGTCTTTTTTAATTACTTTATTCATCCATTTGATTTTTCTTTTCCCTTTTCTTTTTTTTATTCTTTCATAATTTTTTATCTTTCTTGTTTGTTTGTTTGTTTTTTGGTTCATTTTTGTTTGTTCTTTCTTTTGAACTTTTTTGTTTGTGTGTTTGTTTATTTGTTCTCTTGTGGTTGTTGTTTCTTTTATTTTGAACACGTTTTTGTTTGTTTTCTAATTTTTTAGAAATTAGTTTTTCTTTCATTGTTTTTTGTTTGTTAAATCTTGTTTTATTTCATTCTTTTTTGCTTCTTTCTGTTTTATTTTTCATTCTTTCATTTATTTTTCACTCATTTGTTCTATTTTTTTCTGTTGTTTTTCTTTTGTTCATTTGATCTTTCTTTCTTTCTTTCTTTCTTTTGTCCATTTCATTCTGTTTCTTTGCTTCTCTTATTCTTTCATTCTTTTTTTGCTTGTTCTGTCATTCTGTCATTTTTTGTTTGATCATTCATTCTTTTGTTTATTTATTCTTTCGTTTGCAGGATTCCAAGGTCGGCTTTGGTTTTGCGGTCTCAGGTGGGCTTGACAAGCCAGTAAACGGGGACACAGCAGTGGTGGTCTCTGACGTGCTTCCCAGCGGGCCCGCCATGGGTCGTCTTCAGTGAGTACACATCCAGACGAACACAACTTCCTCCCACACATCCTGTCTAATCCTGTCCGACCTGTCATGTTTGTGTACAAGACGGAAAAACTAACTCAAACATATTTGGCAGATTATTTATGTGATAGAGAATCACGTGATTTATTGCCCACAGGACACGGGATCAGATAGTTATGGTGAATGGCGTTTCGATGGAGAAGGTCACCTCACTTTACACTATTCAAAATCTGAGGAACTGTGGGAAAACGGCAAACATTGTAAGTGAAATCATTGCCAAATCATCATCTCGGTAAAACATTCATAAAGTAAACACTCATATAAAATGTTTGCATTTGAACTGAATTCAATAAATGTACAAATAAAAAATGTTAAATTGTTTGTTCATTTTGTAGACTGTGAAGAGGCCACGCACAATTCAGATCCCTGCGAGCAACAGACCTACTCGTTCTGCCTCGCAGTCCAACATACTAGACGACGATATGCCACAGAGGAGGGGTCAGCACAACACCGACCCCAGCCGTAACCGACGAACTCGAAGCGTGACACCTGACCGTAACGGTCACGACCTTCCTATCATGTCCGGCTTCAAGAGACTTCCCAATCAGGATGTGCAAGACAAACCCGTCAGAACAACCCTTATCAAGAAAAAACCCACAGACGGTCAGAATCTCAACGGCTTTGCATTGCGCCAATATTAGTGGTTCTTGCCAAGATTTTAACGTGTTTCTCTCTAGAGTACGGCATGAAGTTGGGGAGCCAGATTTTCATCAAACACATGACTCCCACTGGTCTGGCTGCCAAAGAGGGAAGCCTTCAAGAAGGAGATCTTGTTTTAAAGGTGAAGAACTGCTTCTTTAGAAACCGTTCCAACGCATGTGGATGTTGTGTAACCTTTTTGAAAATTCTGGTTTAGATTAACGGCCTGACGACAGAAAATCTGTCCTTGCTGGAGACCAAGCACCTGGTGGAGAAGTCTAGAGGTAAATTGACCATGTTGGTGTTGAGGGATGACAGAAAGTTCCTCGTCAGCATTCCTGAAGTGGAGGACAGTCCTCAAAACAGTGCCGACGAGAGGCGGCAAGACAGTAGCTCAGAGCTGGAGGGTGAGTGTAGATGTTTTTACAGCACACAGCTGATCTGTGCCATATAGAGCGCTGACATGATGACGCATTTTTGTAATCCAACCCGGATGGCATCACACTGGTTCCCTCAAAAACCCCAATAGGATTATTTTCCAAAAATGATGAGTAGATTCTGTTGCAAAATACAAAAAGATCCACATCCAGGCACTCGCATAGTAAGCAAAGTAAAAAGCCTTTATTCTAAGACAGAATTTTTGACATTTTGTTCCCTCTCTGGAGCACCCATAGCTTTGCTTGCTTCAACGTCACCGCCATTAACCTTAGCTTTCGACAACTCTTTCAGTCTATTTAAAAACAATATGAGTAGATGAGTTTACCTGTTCGCCATTGAATTCAGAACGGTGGAGCCAGAAATGCAAAAAAATGTACATGTTTTGGCCTACAATAATACGTCATCCCTGCAGCACACTAATAAGGTGGGTTTTAATATTAACTTTTCAATTTTTGCCCGAAGAAATCTCAGACCTGGATTCTGACCTCCCCACAAACCGAACATCCCGTCCAAGAGACCGTCGCTCTCGCAGGTGAACATCTCAACTTTGACTTAATCTCTTTTAGTTAAATGATCTTTGCACTAACAGAGCTCATTAATCCACAGAAATCGTGCCAATCCTGTGTCAAAACCACGAGAATCGCCTCCTTTGCGCTCTACACTCACAAGACCACCCGCTCAATCAATGCCCCCTCGCAGAGGTGAGTCTTAGTAACAAAACTCATTGGGACTCGTTTATGAATATGACAATCATAGATTATCATGACCGAGAAGTTTTGACCTCAATACTTTGTCCATTGTTGTATATGTAAGTGGCTGAATGATGCTTTGGCTCTTGTGCAGTTCCCTCAGAATCTGAATCAGACCGCAGTAACTCGCCTCCAGCGTCAAGACATGGCACTCTTGATAACAGAGACCGATACAAGTAAATAAGGCTTCATGTGAATTTATTGGCCCCATGTGCATATAGACAATTATGACTCTGCAGCACCATAGTTATACTGTATATTATGTTGTATTTAGTTTTTGTTCAGAAATTATGATGAAACTGCACTAATTAATGCCTTATAAAATTACTTATGAAATTACATTTTATTTATTTATTTATTTATGTTTTGCTGTTTTTTTCTGTCTGGGTTTGTTTGTTCGTCTTTTCTTGTTTTGTTTTTGTTTTTTTCTGACGGTGTTTTGTTGTTTTTATTTTTATTTTTTAAGTGTTGTTGTCTTTGTCTGTTTTTTTCTTTCAGGATGTTTTGTTTTGCAAGGGGGGTTCTGACTGTTTTTTTTTGTTTTGTTTTGTTTTGTTTTGCTGTTTTATTTTCCTTTTTCTGTTTGTTTGTTTTTTTTGTTTTTTGCTAGTCTTTTAATGTTGCTGTTTGTTTGGGTGAGATGCATGGCTCACATGTTTGTTTGTCTGTTTCAGGGTTCTCTCCGGGATCTCTGCGTTGCCAAACCCTCGAGCCTCACCTGTCACCCAGAACTGGAACTCCTCCACTGCCTCTCAGCCTCGCAGAGGTCTGCCTCAAAAGTGCTCTGACACAGCATCGCTGATTTTTCCATATTACATATATACCAACTCTGGAATTAAAGACTGAAGATTCAGTTAATGATATGCATAAATGTTGTCATTGATATAATCTCAATAGCTTAATGGCCATTTGTTTTGTGTGACCAGCCATTTCTGAGTCCGATTCAGACCGAAGCGCCTCTCCTCCCCCAAGGCGTGAGAGTCCCAAACCTGAAAATCACTCCAGATACAAGTATGAATTCACAACATGAGCAGCAAACACCCAATCCAAATGAAACCACATTTTCAATATCGATAAGTCACTGAATTGTCTAAAAGACTGGTCTATCTCAAGTATGATTGGAAACAGAGAAACCTGTTTTTATTCCCAACCAGTTCCTTTCTTTAAACAATTATCAGACCGGATGATGTTCAAGAAGTTAAGTAAAGCACAGGGTGTCCAGTCCTGCTACTGGAGGGCCAACATCCTGCAGAGTTTAGCTCCAGCCAGCTCCAAAACACTTGCTTCTAGTGAGTCTAAGGACCTTGTTTAGCTGGTTTAGGTGTGTTTAATTAGGGTTGGAGCTAAACTCTGCAGGATAGTGGCCCTTCAGGAACAGGTTTGGACACCCTTGGTTTAACAGTTCTCAAACATGCATGTCACCCTTTGTTAATTCACAAGTTTTAATGATATATCAACTACTGAACTAGAAATGTCTTCATTGCCTCTTCATATCTGTTTTCCCAGGGTGCTTCCCGATCTTCCTCCTCCGGGTATGAAGTCCTCCTCTCTTAGCATGTCTCAGGATTTCCCTCGCCGCATGGCGTCTCCTTACAGGCCTCCACCCAGAGGTGATTTTCACCCCACAGCAGACTTATTTGTCCCATTTTTGTGGCCATTCTAGCAGACTCATTCAAGAGCATGTCTTTTCCATACAGCTGCATCAGAGTCTGAATCGGACGATAGTACCGGACCTCAGCGCAGCCAGGAGTCGCACAATAGATACAGGTACACATGAGGGAGGCCTCGCATCGGGCTCTTTCAGTAGGGCCGATCATCTGTCTGCTCACGATGAGAAAACAGTTTGTTCTATTGTTTTTTTTTATTTGCTTTTATTTTTGTTGCATTATGTTGCTTGTATACACTTATGTAATTTTGTTTCATTGTGATATCTGAAAATGTGATATGTGTGATCTTTTAAAATAAAAGACACCGAATCAACCTGACTTTTCTCTTGTAGTATGTTAATTTATGTCACTGAAAATAAAATATTGCTTCTAAGATGTAGATAATCTTGGATCTAAGATCTAAATTTATAAGTATACAATCACATTATCCAAATAATACCATAAACAACACATATAGTGTTAATATTCTGCACATCCAGAGGTGCAATAGAGATGGAGGTATCATAGATATGGATCTAATTAGTTTACTGTAGTATTTTCTGCTTGTCCTTATGAATCATTGATTTTTGGGACTTCAATTTGACCATATAATCACTTATGGATATGGATAGCCCACCCCTGTCAATGAGAGAGAGACCCCCAGAAACCCTGAGGTGAATATCTCCCTCTGTTCCTAATCATCAATGATTTTACATTAGTTCCCACTTCCTTCATGGACGAGCATAATTAAGTATCCCCCCATCCTCCTTTTTTCTCTCATCCTCCCATCTGCCCTCTTTCTCTTGCAGGGCGACACCTGAGGTCGTGTCAGTCCCTGTAATGGATCCCCCAAAATGGGCAAAACCCTCAACTCCTGTACAGAGAGGTACGAGCCAATCATAAACCAAATAGTCCAGATTAAATATTAAATACTGATGGCATGAAAATTAGGTTTCTTTCATTTTTCTTTTGTATGTCACTTTTAAATGAAAATGTTAATGTGTAAATAATAAATATTGATATGAAATATGTAAGAAATTATGTGTATATTATTATACATTATTTTCTAAATATGAATGTGTAAATTAAACAACATTCTGTTAGTGTTCATACACATTAAATATGAATATTTACACATTATTTTTTCACAATATAAAAATTTTTAAATGCTGAGGGTATGAAAATATTTTGTCATTTTTCGCACCTTAATTTTAAATATGAAAAATATTTTTAAATGCTGAAGTGTAAATATTACATTTCAATCTTAAATATTTAAAAAGGAATGTGTATATTATTATACATTATTTTCTGAATATTATTGTGTAAATTTACATTACACATTAATATTTACGTATTAATTTTCCAAGAATTTATAGATTTCATTTAAATGCATAAATGTAAAATGTATATGTATGCATTTTAATGAAATTTATAAATTCTTGGAAAATTAATGCGTAAATATTTTCGCTTTTTTTTTTAATAACACAGTAATCATTTTTATTTTTGATAAAGATTATATTTAACACTGTTATTCAATTATTAGTGTTTTTAAAGATTAATTTTAAGTGAGCGTTAGATGACGGCAAATGTACTCTAAATGTAAACATATGAAAAAGAACATGCAAAATTAAAGCTGCAGTCCGTAACTTTTTTTGGTTAAAAATGATCCGAAATCAATATTTGAGCAAGTACATAACCAGCCAGTGTTCAAAACTATCGCCTTACTTTAGCCCGATTCACAACAGTTAGCTTATAATAATGTTTTTTAATATGAGTGATACGGGTAGGTTTTCGCGGGAAATTCGAGCATGGCACTGCGTCATTACATCACGTCTGTAAACATAAAGAAGTTGTCCCGGCTACTAGACTATCGCATGTGAGGATCCTGCAGGTGGCCGATCGTTTATAGCCTTTTCTCACAGCAGCTGGAATAATTAAATGTATCATTTAATTTGGCAGATTTTAATCCAGAAATGATTGTTTTATGAAACACATGTGAATGAAATTAAATTATATTCCAGTTATAAATCTGCTTCTGATTACAGATAGCCTGGGATTACACACCGGTGCAGTGACTGACTGCCACACATACTCCTCAAAACATTAGATTCATCCGCGCTGGAGCCGTGCCGACTCACAGCCCAGCAAGGAAGATAATTCCGCACACAGCTGCAATTCCAGGTTTTCAAACAGAGATGGCGACAAAGAGGCAAAACTTACGGACTGCAGCTTTAAATATCAGAGTAAATATTACATATTTAAATATTCATGTGTACATTAAAATTGTATTATTTAAATAAATTCTATTTAAGTACATTTTCTAATTGTTCATACACATTTCACTTTAATATTTGCACATTCATTTTCCATAAATTTATAAATTACATATCAGTACATGCATATACATTTTTAATTTTGATGACGTAAAAATTATTTTTGTCCTTTTTTTGTTCCTCAATCTCAAGCATGAAAAGTATTTATTTAAATATGAATCTGTAAATATTCATTATTCATGTGTACATTAATTAAATATTAATGTGTAAATATTCACTTGTAAATTACTGTAACCTTTCATATACATTATACAATATTTATAAACACACAATATTCATCACATTTGTTTAAATCCTATTAAATATGTCATTAGCTATTTATTTGAGTTTGAAATAGTTCCAATTGCATTTTAAATTACCTTCAAATTGCTAATAACACATAATGCGCTGTAATTGTCATATTTAATCAGCTCCCTCAGAATCTGAATCAGATGTAAGTTACAACTCTCCTCCGAGAACACAGTCTCCAATCAGTAAAAACTCCAGAAGCAGACCAGGGTAAGAGATACTAGAGCTCTTTCATTTATTTTATATTATCATTGTGCATGTAAAGGTGACACACATAGTTTTGTATTATTGTTTTGTCTCAGAGCTGAAATGCAAGCGTCGGTCATCAACAGCCGACAGGATTCTTCACTCAGAGCCGCTCCTGCCAGACCACCCTCTGAAGGTCTGAATAATGCACTTGTTGCCTTCGTGTTCCTGAATATTTCTGCATCTGTGCATCTTTGTAATAATGTGGTTTTGGTTTGTCCACCAGATTCCTCTGAATCAGAAAGAGCCCCATCGCCTGTCAGGAGATCTGAGAGTCCCAGCCACAACAGCGATCACAGGTCAGAAATGGCTCCTCAGACTTATATTTATATAATCCACACTTATAATAGCTAATTATGTCATATTGAAACAGGCTTTGGGAAAGTATGAGTCAATTTCCTTTTGGGTTAAGAACAACAGGCATTTCGGTTAATGCCTGTTGTAAGTCAATAAACACCTTTGTTGCTGCTAAACCATTCCTTAAGACGTTATACATGATCATAGTGACTCACTGTGTGAATGTGAATATGGACTCTTTCTTTCAGTTTCCCACGTGCTAACGGCACTCTCCGCTCTAACGTGTCTGTTCCCAACCACACCATTTTGAGTTGTGAGTATCAGCAGTCTAAAAGCATGCCCCCATAATGCATTGCAAATTATTGAGTGGCTATTGGGTACTAAATTGTAACTGTTTTATCTCAGCGAAAACTGTAGAGGAGCCACTTTATTCACTTCCTCCAGACGCAGTGCCAACACCAAACCTGGGGTGAGAAATGTAATGTTTCTTTGTGTGCAGATCAAAGACAAGACATGAGAGGGTCATATTTCACCCCAAAATTAAAAGGAAATAATAATCATTAATATTTTGCATAAAGAAAAGGCTTTTGTTTATTATTTTTCTTATGACAGCACAAATAAGTGTAAATCAAAGTCACAACAATGATGTATAAATACCTTATTTATACTTAATTTATTATATTTACTAAATATAATATATATTATATAGATAAATGTTTTGTATATTTTGTTATATTGTGTATATTTTATATATATAGTTCATTTAAATAAGCTTAAATTAATTTATGGGGTATACATATTTTATTTCATATTTTTGTTTTTTAAATATGTATAATTATTTAGAAGCATAAATTAAAAACAGACAAATATTAGCATGATGTTCAAATACTTTATATTTATTTTTTTGTTTTTGTTTTTTAATATGTATAATTAAAATCAAGGACACTACAACAAATACTATTATGTACTGTACAAATATTTGTAGTTAACTTAGAATATTATGAATAATAATATTTTATAATATTGTAATATTTTTAGTGCTGTCAAACGATTAATCGCGATTAATCGCATCCAAAATAAAAGTTTTTGTTTGCATAATATTCAATTCAATTCAAGTTTATTTGTACAGCGCTTTATATATGTGTGTGTACTGTGTATATTTATTATGTATATATAAATACACACACATGCATGTATATATTTAAGAAAAATATGTTACGCTTATATATGTTTTATATACATTTAAATATATATATATATTATATTGATATGAAATATACAGTATACATGCATTTGTGTGTATTTACATATACTGTACATATATATACACGGTACACACACATATATTATGTAAACAACCATTTTTATTTTGGATGTGATTAATCGCGATTAATCATTTGACAGCACTAAATATTTTATATTTTTAATAATTATAATTAATTAAAAAATGCATAATGACAGTACACCAAATACTATCATGATGTATAAATACATGATCTCTATTTTATTTATTATATTTAGTTTTTTTTATATATTTATATTTAAATAAGCATAAAGACAGTACAAAAATATTCCCATAATGTATAAATACTTTATATGTATTTAATTAATACTGTTTCTTTTTTATTATATTTATATTTAATTAAACCGATTAAACGTTTAATTAACAAATTAAACATTTGATTAACCAATTAAACTTTTTTTTTTAAATGATGTACTTTCTCTATATCAGGTACAGCTCAGATCAGAACCACGTCAGCTTTGTGAAGGAGGGCAATGTTGGGTTGAGGTTGGTGGGAGGAAATGATGTTGGCATCTTTGTTGGTGGAGTCCAGCCCAACAGTCCAGCCCAGAGACAAGGCATGCAAGAGGGTGATCAGATACTGGAGGTAGGACCAAAGAATCACGTACATGTCATACATGATCAAACCTTTCAGTGGTACCTTTCTTCAAGACTCTTATTTTGGTAGGTGAATGGTGTGGACTTCAATCACTTCACCAGAGAGGAAGCAGCTATGTATCTCATGAACATCCGCGCTGGTGACCGTATCGATATCCGGACTCAGAACAAAATGGACAGTGAGTGCCTTTGTGTCTCCTTATTAGGATTAAGAAGTCAACATGAAATCAAAATTGACCCAATTTAGTTTTTATAATACTAAATAGACAATAGGTTCCTTGTCTTATTGTGAACATAAACCCATTGGGAAAGTAAAATGGGTTACGAATAACAGATCCAAATTAATCTTAACATCTTAGTCTATAAGAAGATTTTGAAGTCCAGCCTTGGTGACTCTTTCTACATCCGTACACACTTTGACCACATGGCTGAGAGCAGTATTGGCTTGAGCTTCACCAGAGGCGAGGTGTTCAGAGTGGTGGACACTATGCACCGCGGGAAGCTGGGAACCTGGCTAGCTGTGCGCATGGGCAATGATCTACACGAGCTGGACAAAGGCACCATTCCTAACCAGACCAGGTATGTTAGTAGTAGATTTCAGTTTTCCTTCCAAAGCTGTGGTAAGTTTGTATGCTTGTTAGGTATGTTCCATTATAGTTCCTGCTTGTACTCTAGGTGTCTGATTCTCTTTCTCTATCTCAGGGCTGAAACTTTGGCGAATTTAGAGCAGGCACAGAGAATTAGTGCAGCTGAACGCCAGGCCTCCGGCCCCAGAGCCGAATTCTGGAAGTTACGGGGTCTCAGAGGGGCCAAAAAGAATGTCAAAAGAACCCGCGATGACCTCCTACAGTTGACGATTCAAGGCAAATTTCCAGCATATGAGAAAGTCATTCTGAGAGAGGGTTAGTGAGTTTTATTTTTTAAAAAGACCATTATTTCTGACAGAATCTTTGGCTGTAACATATGTATGCTTGCTCATTTGCAGCCAATTTCAAACGGCCTATCGTCATTTTGGGTCCTCTGAATGACATTACAAATGAGAAGCTGGCCCGAGAGTTGCCAGAGGAATTTGAAGTTGCAGGTATGAAAAATTGGTTGTAGGTTTTGAAATCAATATTTCTTAACATTTCTGCTGAAGGTTATTCACTTTCAAACATTTAAAGGGATAGTTCACCCAAAAATGGAAATTCTGTCATTAATTACTCACCCTCATGACGTTCCAAACCCGTAAGACCTTTGTTCATCTTTGGAACGCAAATTAAGATATTTTTGATTAAATCCGAGAGCTCTCTGACCCTGCATAGACAGCAACACAACTGTCTCCATTTGACATCAGTGGTTCAACCTTAATTTTATGAAGCTCTGAGAATACTTTTTGTGTGCAGAGAAAACAAAAATAATGACTTTATTCAACAATTTCTTCTCTTGCATGTCAGTCTTTGACGCGCATTCTCGAGAGTACCACGACGCATGTTTTCTTTGCGCACAAAATTATTCTCGTAGCTTTATCAAATTACGGTTGAACCACTGATGTCACATGGACTATTTTAACAATGTTCTTACTACATTTCTGGGCCTTGAATGTGTCAGTTGCGTTGCTGTTTATGCAGGGTCAGAAATATCTTAATTTGTGTTCCGAAGATGAATGAAGGTCTTAGGGGTTTGGAACGACACGAGGATGAGTAATGACATAATTTTGATATTTGGGTGAACTATCCCTTTAATTCTCCTATTTTATTGGTTATAGAAATGGTACCCAGAAGTGGAAGTGAAAGTTCATCCAGTGTCATCAAACTGGACACAGTGAGGCGAATAGCAGAGCAGGTAAACTTTTTATTATCATACAGAGTAATGCTGTCAAAATAAACCAACATTGCCTAAACCAAACACTTGTAACTTGCTCTCACTTGCAGGAAAAGCATCCCTTGCTGGACATTACACCCAGTGCAGTAGAAAGATTGAATTATATCCAGTACCATCCCATGGTGCTCTTCTTGGATCCTCATAGTCGAAAAGACGTGAAGTCAATGAGGCAAAAATACATGCCAGGCTCCAACAAGAGCTCTCGTCGCCTATATGCTCAGGCCTTAAAGCTGAGGAAACACTATAGTCATCTATTTTCCGGTACACCTTTGAAGCCCGTCTCAAATTCCCCGTTTGAATCTTATTTGAAGATACCTTCAGAAAGTTTTAATGTGCTCTAAAAGACAATCTCTGGTTTTTCGGTTTCCTTCACAGCACGTATTGATCTTCAGCCTAATACAAACATGTGGTATGATGTTTTGAAAGATAAGATTCGGCAGCAGCAATCTAAACCGGTCTGGGTTTCTGAAGTTGCGGTAAGAACTCTAGAGAGAATTATGGTACTAAATGGTGCACTCACATCATGTAGAATTAACGTAATTATACGTTTTCAACTTTAAAAACCGACGGTGAGGCAATTACGGATGGTGAAGCCTACACAGACAACGAGGACCTGGAAGAGCCCTCTGTAGGCATCGCCAGAAACCGCGGCACTGCACTGGCCCGCTCCTCGGAGCCTGCCACTGGGCAGAATCAAAGTCCTGAACCTTCCTATGACCCAGAGCCATACCTGGAGGAAGAGCCCGAGTACACCCTACCTCCCGGGGAAATACCTCCCATCCTCCATGTTCCAGAGCCCCGATCTCCACGCTTTGTCCCTGGCAGTCCCCAACAACAAGACGATGTCCCCTCACAGCGGAGTTTCTCAGATTCAGACTTTAGTGCTGGTGACTTGGCTGCACCACCAGCACCTTCCGATGTTCCGCCCAACTTTAGGGCACCAGATCCCAAAGAAGTCCAATCAGAGACCCCTCCACTGTCAGCCATAGAGGAGAAACTACAACAGGTACCATATATACCTATTTCCCATTCGACTGACCTATCGCGCAATCAGACACAACATGATTTAGTCAATTAGGACATGTTCGTGGATCACATCAGGGATAGGCAACTTCGATCCTGGAGGGACACTGTCCAACAGAGTTTAGCTCCAACCCTAATCAAACACACATGCCTGTAGTTTTTTTAGTGATCTTGAAGACATTGATTAGCTTGTTCAGGTGTTTGATTAGGGTTTGAGCTAAACTCTGCAAGACAGTGGACTGCAAGACTGCCAGGACCGAAGCTGCCCATCTCTGATCCTTAGTGGGACAAAACTTACCATAACCAACCTTTTAAAAACAGAGGGAAATGATAAGTTGAAAATGTTCTATACACCAGAGATCCCAGATGTGACCCTAACCCTGACCCTAAAATCTGATTGATTGGTAGATCCACACGGTTTGAGTAGTACAGCATAATTTAGTCAAGCAGGACATGTTCCTGGATCGATATCCTTGGTAGGATCAACAAAGGACAACTTGCACTAACCATAACCTACCTTAAAAAACAGAGGGAAATTATTGAAGTTGATAATGTTCTTCAATCCACTAATTGCAAGGTAACCCTAACCTTGACCCTAAAATCTGATTAGTTGATGAATCCACCTTAATTCAAATTTGAGTAGCACAACATTATTAAGTAGGACAAAAAAATCTGACTGGTTGATAGATCCACCAAATTACAGACTGAATAGCACAGCATTATTAATTCAAGTATAGGACATGCTCCTTGATCAACACCCTTGGCCAACAAAGACTTACCCTAACCCTAACCATAACCTACCTTTAACAGCAGAGGGAAATAAGTTGATAATGTTCTTCATGCCTCTAATCCCAAGGAAACCCTAACCTTGATCCTAAAATCTGATGATTTGATGATTCAACCTTAATTTAAGTTTGAGTATCACAACATTATTAAGTCAAGTAGGACAGATTCCTGGATCTACATCCTTAGTAGTTCCGGCAAAGGACCTTTCCTAATACCCACACTTGCGGTCTTGGCTACTTGAAGTGCACATGTCTGAAAAATGTTACTAGTAGTAGAAGTTTATTAGTAAAGTACAAGTAATTGCAATCTTACAACACTGTGTTGTAAGTGTGTCCCATCAGGTAATCAAAAGTTATGTGGCATTCACAGCCATTTGAACATTTGAGCCAAATACACAAAATAAATCATGCATGTGTGGGTATTGGGACAGGCCCAAAGACTAAACCCTTACCCTAACCATAACCTACCTCTACAAGAAGAGGAAAATTATGGTTGGCAATGTTCTTCATGCCCCTAATCCCAAAGGTAATCCTAACCCTGACCCTAATATCTGATTGATTGGCAGATCCACTGATTTACACTGAGTAGTATGGCATGATTTAGTCAAGTAGGGCATGTTCCTGGATTGAAATACATATTAGGACCAACCCCTTCCCCTTCCCCTTTCCCTTCCCCTAACCATAACCTGCCCCTAAAAGCCCCTGTTCTTCACATCATTAATCCCAGAGGTAAATGTAACCTTGACCCTAAAATTTGATTGGTTGATAGTGATGTTGTTCTAAGACCAACAAGGATGGTGATCCAGGAACATGCTCTACTTGACTAAGTCATGTTAAGCTGTTTGGATGCATTCAATATTAAATATTTCTTAAATGCTTGATGTAGAAATTGATGTGAAACACATTCCCATGTGTTTTATTGTTTCAGGCCCGTATGGCAGAACCAGAAAGGAAACCCTCCCCTTCATTTATAGTGTAAGTCTTTATGCATGGTCTGTCAAGTTTAGCTCAGAAGAATAAAGTACTAAATGCATTTGTTTTTCATTTTTAAATGTATTTATAAATCTTTTCTTTTAGACTGGCACATCATGAAGCCATGCAAATGCGGAGAACACAGATCAGAGGAAGCGACAGTGACAGCGATGAAGACGACAGAGATGATGATTTTAGTGTAGATGATGATGAAACTGATGACATTGAATGGGGACCTGCAACAGAGCTGTAATACACATGGATCACACTAACATGGACCTCTCATGTCTTAGTGTAGACATGTACATTTACACAAACAAACTGGAAATATTTTTTTATTTCCAGTGTTTTTTATACAGTGTCCTTATGGACTTGTGATAGATGACTGTAATCTTGGATCGATTTTGAAGATTTGTGACCAGAATTGCTTCCTTTTGTGGGTTTCGTAGTTTTAATGGATGTGCTGAGATCTTCCTCAGGATTATATGAAAAATAAATATTGCCAGTTGTAATAAAGACAATTTGGGTATGATTTACCCTCTTCAGTAACTATATATATATATATTATTTTAATTATTATTGTTTTTGTATTTTGAAATGAATGGAACAAAACTTTTAAGCTCACGTGATTATTAATGTTAAAGAGTGTGCTGAAATTCATCTTACTATGAAGACTTCTCCACAATTTTCTGTCGTTAATTCAACTCAGACTGCTTAAAAAGTGAAGGGCTTAGTGGAAGCAAATGGAATTGCAACAATAATAACTTTTTTTTATGTAGTTGCTTTAACATCACCCTTTCTCTTATTAAAGCATTGATCAGGAAGTCAGTCATTTTAAGTGCTGTCTCAAACAAAGTCCTTTTTTTAGTGAACTGGAATGTTCTTTCCCTAAAAAAAAAAAAATCCCCAAAACCAGGAAGAATCTATGCTCGCTATGTTCTCTTACTGGAAAATGTCACATTTTCTGAAGTGCAAAATATAAGTCACACAGGGGGCTTACTAGTGCCCAAATTTGTGTACATGATATACTGAGTCACTGGATGCTAGAGAGCAGACTGAGACACACTCCTCTGGAATTTCCTAAATACAGACATGTCAAGTTAAAAATTTGACATTGTTAGAATTGTCACCATTCCAAATCACAAATGTTGATTATGTCATTGCATTTTTGCCATTGGTCTGTTTTCTTGTATTTATTTGTATATTGAATGCTGGCCTTACCAGTGCCTGAATTTGTGTACATGATATACAGACTCACTACCTAGGGTGCAAGGGAGCAGATTGAGACGCACTCCTAGGAAATTTCATATATATACTCTTGAAAATAAAGGTGCTTCATGATGCCATAAAACAACCTTTTTTGTTTAAATGGTTCCATAAAGAACCTTTAAGATCTGAAGAACCTTTCTGTTTCACAAAACGTTCTTTATGGCAAAAGAAGGTTCTTCAGATTATATAAAGGTAAGAAAGAGATGGTTCTTTAAAGAACCTTTGACTGAATGGTTCTTTGTGGAACCAAAAATGCTTCTTCTATGCCATCGCTGTGAAGAACCTTTTAAGCACCTTTATTTGTGCGTGTGTGTGTGTGTGTGTGTGTGTGTTTTACAGTTAAAAAATTGAAAAGTTGAAATTGTCACAATTCCAAATCTAACCAATGGTGAAGATGTCTGCATTTTCCGATTGGTTATCTTGTATTTTTTTTGCATAAGACTGCTATGCTCAGATATTTCAAGACAGATACAATATTGCTTTAGCACAGATAGGCCTATTTCATTCTGTAAATAAAATAAAAGTGTAGTTAAAATGATGTTTTGTCAAACAAAAAGTTTTCAAGACATGTTTTGTCACGAAAGTGGGCGGTGTTTTAATATTTAATTAAACAGCAGGTGACAGACATTAACAACAACGTGTGGGGCAGTTGGCCAAAGCTTATTTTTGTCGTAAAATGATGTAACTCAATGCATAAACGTCGTTTTAAAAGTCTCAGCGAACATGCATGATGTTATCCAGCCCTCATGTTTCTACATGGCAGCGCAGTTTCACTTGTCACTGTCACAGCGAGAGAGAAAAAGCGGATGCGCCTCAGACTGTTCTGATGAGTGTCAGTAGATTCACTCAATGTGCGATCATATTAGAGGTGTGAGACACAAGCTCGAGCTCGGAGTGTGGAAACCTCGCATCAGCGCTTTGAAATGGGGAGCCGGGGGGTGGGCTGGGGGGTTATATCGTAAATTAAAAGAAAAACGCGTCGGAAAGAAACGCCTGAAGCTTAAAATGTTCTCTAAAAGGACAAGGGAACTGATAAAGACGCACTCGATGTCAAAGAAGAGCCGAACAGGAAGCAGCCCATCGCCTCTCAACTCTCCATCAGTAAGTCTCACAGCATCTCTCGCCTTTTCCTCCTGCCAATCAACTTGAGTGACATTTCACTCTCGCGCTCATGTTTTCGCCTGGTTTTCGACGTTGCTGAAAAATGTACGAATGTTATCAGTGTTTTCAAACACAAAGTAGAATTCAAGATGATTTTTTTTAGACCGTTATGTAAAAAAACAATAATATTAAGAAAAGGACGGACTAAACTTCCTCAGTGTGATATGGCGTAGCAAGGGGCAAGAAGTTCATGTTTTGCCTTACTTTGAATATTTTTCTCCTGGTTTCAGGACTTAATTGATTTACTTTCAGGCGCTTTTTAAGGTTCAGTTGCATGTATTAAATTAAAAGGATGAGATATGATGGCTAACAGTGTCGAAAGTTGCTTCAGTAAAGTACAAGTAGCTCAGTAGCTGGAAATGTTGAAGCGTGGTGGATCAAGTAGCAAAAGCTACAGTCCTTACGCGACTAGTCAGAGAGTGAAAAAATCAAACGGCAAAACTAAATTGGACATCTTACCAAATAGACCCAACGTCTGGCTCAAACAGGTGGGTTGTATTTAAAAAGTACTTTTTTGTCAATATACCTATTAAAAGTAGTAAATATTTGTATCTTACTGTTTAAAATATGCATTTGTGTATGATATGCGTACTGATAAGCATTTACCGTTTTTGTCAAGTGGTGTTAACCAGTTGTAAAACTATTATACATGTTATCTTAGGACCTCATATTGAAAGTCTACAAGGAATATTTGTTCTTCTAAAAATGAATTAGATCAAAGTGAACTGCAAAACGTTAAATGTATATTTAAACTTTAAAATGTCTTATTGAAATATTATTGTAATATTCCAAGTATTATGACGAGTTGTCAATTTAGTTTTCATAATTTTTATTTAAATTAATTATATGTAAAAATAACATATAGGGGAAAAGTTTTATATATATATATGAATGAGAGAGAGGAAAAAAGTAAAAAAATAAATAAAATTATTTTTAAATGAATCTTCTTTAAAAGTGACCTGGATTTTGAGATATCACCCTGTTAACACTTACAGGTTTGCGTATCATATTTCACCATTTGTTCAGTCGTTTGTTGACTAAAATGAGGCAGAAATGAGTCATAATTGATGGGATTTTCGGTAACTTTGCTTTATATTCATGTTTACTCGCGTGGGAGTGTTTTTAGGCCTCAGCGGGGCCAGTTAGCATGGCATCAGCTCTTCGGGGTGTGACAGGAAGTAGGCCACGATTACACAATTGCTCTTGTGAAAGAAGTTCTGTTTACTAACAGCCGTCTATTGTAGTCGGGTACACATCTTGTGCTCTATCTGCAAAAATTTCTACCTTAAAACTTGTCGTGTTTATCAGTTTGCCCACACTATATCCTTGTTTTCTTCTTTATCAAACAGCTCTCTGCTCTTCAAGAGCAGCCTCGGAAAGATGCAGTCGATGCCGTCACCTCTTCGTCCCATACTTCCTCCAATCTGTCTCCCCCTGTCCTAGAAGTCCCGTCTTCCTGTCCAGGTACCCCTTTGGCCCAGCACACTAAGCTGGTTGGCAGCCCATCCCCAATGGGCACCCTAAAGCGGCCGACTTCCCTGAGTCGTAATCAAAGCGCCGCGGGCTTCCCGATACAGTCTTGGGTCTTCAGTAAGGGTGCAGGAAAATCCGTCATCGCGCAGAGTCCCTCGCCGGAGACGCCCGAGACTACAGTGGCTATCGAGGTGGAAGACATCCCGTCGTTGTTGCGCATAGTGGAGCGGTTTGCCAAAGCGGTGGAGAAACTGAAAGATGTTGTGCTTGAAGGTAAGATAATGGTTTTCTTGGAGAAGAACTACAAAAATCTGAGATTTTTTTTTTTTTGGTAAAAGCCAGCAGCTGTGGTTGCCAGAATTTTAACGTAAAAAATATGGTAGAAACATTTTAGGTTTTACGAACTGAACTTAAATTTACTGTAAAACATTTCATTAACTAATATAATGTTAGCGTACCAATGTGTACAATAATATACCTAAAATGTGTTTTGTACATTTACAATATACTTACAACCAAAAAAAAACAATGTTAGTAAAAATTCAAACTTCATCACAAACAAGGTTAACAAATGTGAAAGTAAAACCAGATGAAATAAATGTTAACTAATAATAAAATAAAATCTTAAAAATTACTTAAATGTTTATTAATTATTATATAAATTATTGAACTCAATGAAAACCATAGACGCATTAAAAAATTACAACAAAATTAATAACAATGAAAAAATTATAAACTAAAATTAACAAATGAAAATGGGAGGGGAAAAATACAAAAACTTTGTAACAAATGACACTAAAATAATCTGCGTGATTTCGATTTTTTTATTTTATTTTATTTTTTTTTTTTTCACACCATTTGAAAGAGAATTTTGGGAATGTCTGTATTTTACTGTAAAGTTACATAAAGTGCCGTTAGATTTATTAGTTTTTCACCTTATATAGTAAGAAATTACCGTTAACCAATTAACAGGTTTTTAACATGGCATTTTTAGTCGTTTACCGTTATAACTACAATAACGTTTTTTACAGTGTAGTTGACATGGATGAAACGTTTCCTGGTACTTATTTTCACGTTAGAAACTCACAACAGTGCTCAATACTTGTCTGCCACATGACTATTTGCACGTCCTGCCGCAAACATCACCTTCCGCTGAGGATCATGTGATCGCGGAGCAGAGAAGGGGCGGGGCTGAGTTTGCCCAAGAGGCCCTGATCTTCCTGTATCTGCAGTGAGGCTGAGTTCCTGTGGTGCACCACACTGGCGCAGGAAATGATTCTCTCAGAAAACACCCCCTTCCGCTCTCAGGACTTGTAGAGCAACGTCATTCCGCATCAAGCATGTAGTCCTACCCATAAATAACAAAATCAGTTATTATATCTGAGTTTTCCAATATTTCACTATAGACAAAACTATCTTTTCCACAAGAGGATCCTTAGAAAAAGCACTGTGATGGTTCCGTGATACAGTGATGGTAAAACCATGGTGTATATATATTTTGGAAAATATTTAGTGCGCATTAAGTTGATCATTTTCAGTTAGATCAGTTAAATCTGAAGAGAAATCATTTTAATTTAATATGAATGCAACATTTATTCGTATAGATCTTTTCTCAATTCATCCAAACCAAAAAATCCCCTAAAAAAAGACAACAAAGGCACTATTCTTGAAAGTTGTTGTTGCAAGGAATTTTATATTGTATATTTCATCATATTTTATAGAAATTATATTTAAATATGTATTTCTATTAATGTTCCTATGAATTTTCTTGCTGGTCCAAGTTTGAAAACTTCTATATTATGGTAGTAAATGATTACTATGATACTTGGTAGTTGTCCAAAAAATAAAAAAGTTAATTAATTAATACTACTACTAATAATAATAATAGTAATAAATTTAGTATACATCTTTTAGTCATTTTACCATATTTCAAATATATGGCTTTGGATTTGGTGGTTGACTCGTGCCACAATTTCCTCCACTTTTATTTTATTGAACACACATAGCCTACTTTATCTGATTGGGGGGAAAAAGCCAGTTGTTCATGCTTCCCATTACTGTATAAGTCAGGTAGTTTCAACAGAACAAAGAGAAACTAAACAAGTAACAGTTGTAGGTGTTTTTTGGATCGAGTTATGGTTAAGACAGGAGGAAGTGGCTTGTAGACGTGTCACAGCAGACGAGAAAGCACTGCAACACAGTGTCTCGACTCTTTTAGGATCACTGCAGATCAGTGGTGGAAAGAGTACTGAAAAAATATACTCAAGTAAAAGTACCATTACCTTCCAAAAAATGTAGTGTGAGTAGAGTAAAAGTACTTGTCCAAAAAACTACTTGAGTAAGAGTAAAAGAGTAGCCTATTTAAAAGTACTCATGAGTATTGAGTAGTGAGTACTGAGCTGTGGATTCTACCCCCTCATAATAAACACTGTACACCGCAATTGACTGCAGTTTTATTACATCACGTGCTGGCACAGATGCAGTATATTAAGGCCACGGGTCATCAATGAGGTGCAGATTGGTCCTCAATTTGTGTTTCCAACACACTTTTTCACAGCGCGCATCACTCGCTCAAACTCATCAAAAGTCAACAAGTTCAACAAGCAACGACGACTTATCCAAGTGACCGCTGCAGAACGCACGCGAGAGGGAGAGACGAGGCAGCGCAGATCGCGCGTCTTATAAGTGAGTGGGAATTTACCGAACGTGGCACTTGCGGGAGTTAATACTGTATGCAATACCCGCAACCTCACACCAAATTTCAGGCCGTGTAGATAGGCAAGCATAGCCTATATACAAATCATTTAGTAAGCAGAAATCCGAAATTTACCTCAACATATTAAGTTAGAGGAAGTTGCGACTGAATTTATGCTTGAAGAATGCGCTTCCAGCAGCCATGATAAACAGTTGGCGGTTAAAGTTTTCTATGCACAATTTTATTTGACGAAAGTCACGAGACCTATTACTCTCTATCCAATCACGTTGATGGATAAAAATAAAATTAAAATAAGCATGTAGCGACCACAAACGGAGGAAAATAGCGGAGTAAAAGTACCGATACATCACTTAAAATGTACTCAAGTAAAAGTACACAATTTTTAAACTACTCAAAAAAAAAAAGTACAATTACTGATAAAAACTACTTAATTACTGTAACGTGAGTATTTGTAATTCGTTACTTCACACCCCTGCTGCAGATATTTCTCAGCATGACAGACACTGACATGTCGGTTAAAGGGTTACTGGGTTCACAAAGAATTATCCAGGTCATATTGTGCCCTATAACTAGAAGAAAAATGTCGAGAGATGATAAAGTGAAAACTTTAATTATTTGTTAGTTTTATTTATTTTTATTTTTTTTGTATAATTGTTTATTTATTGAACAAGACTGAACAAATTAACATAATTAACTCTTTATTTATTTATTTATAATTTTTTGCATCATGTAGGGTGAAATATGACCACGGTATTTATTTTAGTTAGTTAGTTAGTTAGTTAGTTAGTTTTGGCATTTATTTTCTTATGGGTTGAAATATGACCCAGATTTTGTTTCTCATAATTTGTATTTTATTTTTTTTGTTTTATTTTTGTTTTTACGTTGTGGCATTTATTTTCAAATGGGGTGAAATATGAAAGATGTTTATTAATTTTTCTTAATTTATTTCATTTTTTATTTTAATTATTTAATTATTTTTTCTTTCTTTCTTTCTTTCTTTCTTTCTCTTTCTTTCTTTCTCTCTTTCTCTCTCTTTCTTTTTTTTCTTGATGAAATATGACCCAGATATTCAATTATAGTTTTGCTTATTTGATAACACTGTGTGAAGAGAGTTATCATTTGACACAAAAATCCAAGTTTAATCAGAAGTCAGATGGTTTTTAGCAGGTCCGAGCTGTAATGGCGCAGCTCTATTCTGGAAAAGGGGGCGGGGAGCAGCAGCTCATTTGCATTTAAAGAGACGCGCCCGAAAAACAGCGCGTTTCTGCTTCCACTCAAAATAGGCATTTTCAAAATTCCTATATAATAAATGATCTGTGGAGTATTTTGAGCTGAAACTTCACGGACACATTCTGGGGACACCAGAGACGTGTATTACATGTTGTAAAAAGGGGCATAATATGTCTCCTTTAAAGAGTTTAGTAAAATTTTGGCCGGAAAAGTTTTACAATTTTTATCACGTTAATGTAAAATCTTGTGTGATATAACTTGTCTTTGTTTGTTTGCTGGTTTTTATTGTATTTGTTATACTTGTATTTTCTAAATTGTTTTTGCCATGAAAATAGCCTTTGATGCTGACATGGCATTAAATAAATATATACTATACTTAATCAGAAGTCTTAACTTGAGCTTGTGCTGCTGTAATCTAGATGTTTATTTTCAGCTGTTAAGCATCTGATGATAATGTTGTTTATGGTTTTTGGCAGACAAACAGGAGAACCGGCGTCCATTGGCCCATGAGTGTTTGGGGGAAGTTCTGCGCATCCTGCGGCAGGTCATCAGCATGTACCCTCTCCTCAACACGGTGGAGACGCTCACCGCTGCCGGCAAGCTCATCTCACAGGTCAAAGGTTAGAGCAGCCATTTACTGTCGTTCTACAGCACTAATGTGTTTCTGTCATTTTAAGCAATTTACTAACAATTGCCTTTGCCTTTGTCTTTGACTTCAGGATACCACTATGAAGTGTGCAATGAAGCAGACAAGAAAGATTTTGAGAAGGCCATCGAGACCATCGCTGTAGCCTTTAGCAGCAAGTGAGTATGAAGCGCTCGTCAGCGAATCACGCTATCAGCGGCTCTGGGGAAAAAGTAGTTGTGACTTTAGATCTCATAATTGTGAGTTTTGCTTCTTGCAATTGCAAACTTTCTCATGATTTTCTTTATTTTTTACACTGAAATGCAAACAGGCTTATTTTGCAGTATGCATACTGTGCACCACTTTGCTGTATGAATAATTACTTGGGTTGAATAGTACATTTACCAAAATGTGCAGTATGCAACCAGAGAGCAATATTGTATTTATTGAATACTGTATCCCACAATGCAGTGTGCTCTACTTGATTTTCTATTTCAGATGTGATAAATGAACGTAAATACCGTATTGTCCCGAATATAAGACAATATTTTTTTCTTGTTTTTCCAAAAGGTACATCTGGAAAAAGGGGGGGTCGTCTTATAATCAGGGTCGTCTTATATTCGGGCCAATACGGTAGAACGTAATGAAAATGAAAGTAATTTCACCCAATTTTTTTAGCATTTATTCTTTGAAATATTTATTTATACACCATCGACCTGCCAATGGTGATTTACTAAAATAGTTATATTATAACCTTTTTTTGGAAATGCATATATGTAGTGGGAAGTCTGATCTTTGAGAAAATATAAAGGGTCACTAACTTCAATTCTTTAACTTATTTTTTTTTACGTTTTCACTGAACTATACAATAAATATGTCCTACGGTGTGACATAGCAAAAATTTAGAAAAAAAGAAACCCTTAATAATATATAAATAGCATGAGAGAGATTTATCTTCATTGTTAGATGCTTATTTTCACATAGTGCTATTTATTTAAAATGAAATTATAATTAACACAATTTTTTTCCCCATGACTTGTTGGACAATTTCAGGACAAACTTTGACAACAAGACAAACTTTGCTGTCATCCGTTCAAAACTGCTGAAAATTATACCATTTTAAGTTGAGTGATATTTGTATGTCCCCTATTACAATACTCAAGTGTTTTTGAGATAAAAACAAATCTGTGGTTCTTTTATGTGTGTCACACCAAAGGACATTACGTCACACTAAAGGACAGAAATTGTAGTTATTAAATTATTTCTATGTCATTTTGAACATGTCAAAGGGGAAAGAAAGTTTAATTTTGATACAAACAATATCAACATGTATTTAAAAGAAAAAACTAAATTCAGTCTCTTAGTCAATCAGTATGTTACTGAAACTCTTCTAGCCCCCGCTGCATGTGTGGCACAGCTAAATATGATATTCAAACTATATTCATTAAGATGTGAATGAGTTTTTTTTAAAACTATATGGCTACTCTTTTTAAGGCATAATTTTGATTCTATTTACTTTCTGCATTGTTCTCTTATAATCTCCTCCCTTCTGTGTGGATCCCTGTTAATTTTCTGTCTATATTCCCGTGTCCCGTGTCCCCCTTCCAGTAATTTCTCTCCCTCAATTCTTTCTGTCTCAAAAACTAAGCATCACGTTTTATTCTTATTTTCATGACACTTTATAACGGTACAAGTTTTCTGCAAAAACCTCAGAAAATAGTTTAATTAATGTAATTATTGCATTTAAGAACACTGAAAATGATCAAAAAATAATAATAAAAAGGAGTTAAACAAATCTTATTTAATTATTTAAAATGCTTTTTAAAGAGACCTTGTCCTCTGGTGAGACATCTTTGTCCTGTGCTGTGACCGTACAGGCGTCACACCGGAGGACATTTTCTGTCACACCAAAGGACGTTTTAGCCTTTTTCTGTCAATTAATGACCTTGCTATGCTAACCTGTCATTAGCAGTTTGCAAGACACATCTGCATCATTTTCCATGATTATGTAGTTTAACATGCAGTTTTTAATTAAAAAAATATAATTTAAGGGTGTCACACCAAAGGACAATAAAACGTAACACTTTTGTAGTGGTTCCAAAAAAGTTGGAAAAAAAAAATGTACCATGTGCACATGTCATGGGCTTCACAGGGGGCTTCAGTAACACGACCATGAATGGGGTCCTTCAACTAATTAAAGTTTTCTCTGGAATTGGCCGATTTAAAATCAGGATATGGTGTCACACCAGAGGACATGGTTTTCACAGACAAAATGTATCCAGTTCCTTCGTTTTCAGAAATGTATGGATGAAAAAAATGATTGCCATTTACTAAAATAGACACTTGTACAATTATGCCGGAGGTATTTATTAACATTTTATGTTTTTCTTTGTCATTTATAAAAGTTGTAATTTATTGAACCATGCTTGAGACAGTCACACCATAGGACAAGTTTTTAAAGCAAAAATTTAAATATAGCACTGCAGCTTTTATAACAACAGGTCCATGTAGGACAAAAATGTTTAACAATTTACTGCATTTTAAATAACGACAATATTAATTATATTCATTTTTATCTTGTGGGACAGTGAAAATGCCATGTCACGTCAACAACCCATATATATATATATATTAGAGACACACACACACACATGAAGAGTTTATTTGCAAAAACAGATATCATGTTTTTTGTTACCATGTTTTTATTGTTAGTTAGCTGTATTTTTAGTTATTTTTTTAACCTAATCAAAATAACCCAACTGCAGTTTGATTGATATTAATTGGAATGCACAATGATAAAACATGATTTTTGAAAATTTTTAAAAACTGAGTTATCGTTTTTGCAAATGAACTCTGGATGGATGGATAGTGAGGTCATGCGACAACAATCTTGCATTCTTGCATACTATTTTTTTTTTATTTTTATTTTTTTATTATTTATATCTATTTATTTATTTTTGATTCCTTCTGGGAAATAGCACATTATTTTGGAATGTATTTATCTATAGGTTTATTTGCAAAAACAGATAACTCCGTTTTGTTAAATTTTCAAAAATCACGTTTTTTTTGTTATGTAATCATGTTTTTATTGTTTTATTGTGTTAGTTAGCTGGTATTTTTAGTTATTTTTTTAACCTAATCAAAATAACCCAACTGCAGTTTGATTGATATTAATTGGAATGCACAATGATAAAACATGATTTTTGAAAATTTTTAAAAACTGAGTTATCGTTTTTGCAAATGAACTCTGGATGGATGGATAGTGAGGTCATGCGACAACAATCTTGCATTCTTGCATACTATTTTTTTTTTATTTTTATTTTTTTATTATTTATATCTATTTATTTATTTTTGATTCCTTCTGGGAAATAGCACATTATTTTGGAATGTATTTATCTATATACATTTAAATCAATAAATAAGTATTTTTTTAAAAATAAGTAATTTCCAAAGGAAAAATTTCCCCTTGAATGAACGGGAAGATTTGCTTGTTTGTTTGTTTGTTTGTTTACTTTTTAGATTCATTCTGGGAGATAGCACATTCTTTTGCAATGCATTTATTTATATACATTTAAATAAATATTAAAATAAAGGGAAAAATTTCCCCTTGAATGAATGGAACTATTTATTTATTGATTGTGCTTATTATATTATTCAATTAATTCAAGAGGGGAAAAGCACTTTGTTCCTTTTTAAATGTTTTAGTTTATTCGGTTTATTGATTTTGTTTAATTTAATTTTTACCAGTCTAAATTAAGCGTTCACAGGACTGCAGTACCATACAGCATACTTTGTGTACATTATGAAATCATCTCTCTCAAAATGCTCTGTTAGATCATTGACATTAATCGTAGCTCGACAGAAATAACAGGAAGTTGATCTGCGGCTTCTGCTCGCTTACGCTAACAGCCCCAAACCCTCCAGGATCTGTTTTTGAGTTCGAGCTGATAATTATCATTGCTGTTGTTGTCACTTCAACTTTTCATAATCGTATCAATACATTTTTTGACTGGCAGCGCAAAATGTTGCTCAAACTGTCTTGTTCATGTCTTGCATTAATTTCCTGTGACCAAAACATTAAATCATGCAGCGGTGCAATGTGACCGTGTTTGAGGAAGTTGAGAGCTGGCATCTAATCATTTGCTGCAGTTGAGTTTTTCAGATGTTATTGTTTGTGTGTTTTGTCAGTGTGTCTGAGCTGCTGATGGGAGAGGTGGACAGCAGCACACTGTTGTCAGTGTTGCCGTCTGAGAAGAGCAGGGTGAGTGTGTGTCAGTCTCTGTACAGAGCGGATGTTGGCAGCAGGGTTTGACTTCCTGAAAGTGGCGTTCTGTGATTAGAGTCACTGCTCTGACGCAGTCGTCCTCCTCTGAAATAAGACTCACATGACTGATGTGTATGATGTATATGTGACACAATGTGTGATTATAAATATTTGTGTGTGTTTGTTCTCTTTGAATGTTCAGTCTATGGAGAACCTCTCGGGTCATGAGTCTTCACACACATGGAGTGATTCATCTGAGCTGGGTACATTGTTTTGACAAATTCAGAAGTACAGAAAAGCAAGTAGGAATGCAATGATATATAGTTGGGGTTTTGTTTTTTTTGTTTTTTTTGTGAAGAAGATATAATTTTATGTCTTCAATATAATTTGTATATAAAAAAATGTTTAAAAATCAAATTATTTTTATTTATGTTTTTTATTGAGCTGATTATAATTGTGATACTATGTTGTTCTAATAAAAAGTCTTGTGCAGAACATGTTTAAAATTAATATTTATAAGAGAACAGTGTTCTGCAGAACATTTAAGAATTTATTAAGAGAACTAACAGTATTTATTTATTCATTACTTTGTATAAAATCTCCTGCAAAACATTTAAAATTGAATAATTAAAATAAATGCATAATTGTTTATTATTATTATTATTAACAATAATATTTATTATTAGTAGTAGTGTTGTTATAATAATAATAATAATAATGTATTATTCTTAATTTTAAATATGGTCTGCAGGAGATTTTGTGAAGATCTCAAATAAATACATACATGCATACATACATGCATACAT